CCAGAGAACATAACTAAGATCCAGATTTATGTGTTTGAGGATTGATCTGATCTCGGTCCGTTGCAGATTATATATGTTATGTTTCTTTTTTCTCCTATTATATTATACATTTTTGTGTGTTATTACATAAGACACGGTTCACACAATAAGGAAATATGTGTGGATGGTATATTTTAAGGGAATTTGGATAATTTGATTTGATTTCACTAAATCGACTAAAAATAATTATTTTCGGGGACTAAATCGATGAATAAGCGATTAAGGGACTACATTGACAGTTCGCTAATAATTGAGGGGCCAAATCCTTCATTAACTCTATATTGTATTCCATTTAATCATGAAAATGTAAAACTAGTAGATAATTATTATGAGTAATGTTAGATACTTCTATTATTATTTTTCTCCTCCAATCCATCCCTCATGATATGACATTAGTGCCCGCATGAGCAATTCAGTTGGTCATAGGGGTGAAGTTTGGGAAGAATGACCAGGGGTCGAGTCTCACTAGCCACAGTGTGGGAGCAACTTCTCAAAGTGAGGTGGGCTGCGCACTCCTTGTGCGCATTAAGTAAAGGTCGTCTACCCTCTGTGCTCCGTTGGGCTGGGGTTGGGGATTCAACCTTTTAGGAGGAATGATATGATCATATGACATTAGTTAATTGGTCGTTATATCGTGCACCTAAGGCGCACAATGCATTGTGTGGCCTAATTTTTGTTTTGTTTTGTATGTACAGAATTGTATAGTAGAATACACATAAACTCTTAACGTAATACACATAAATACACAAAAATAAAACTATAACGGAATTGGACGGACGGAACAGTATCTATCGCGTCAACTCCTTCAACTTATAGGAACGACGTCGTTTTGGGTAGGGGGGCATGATATAATTTGCCATATTTTGCAGTTTCTACTGTATTTCACATCTTATATTTTTTAAAATTGTCATTTTCTGTTGTGTGCGTCCCATTTCTTGTTTTCTGGCTAAATAATAAAACATGATATTCACAGCAATTATTTATTTATTTACTTTCCAAATTTGGGCTAGCTTCTCTTGAGCATATGATCATAGTTTTAGTTTTCGGGTTGTCTTGTTTAGTGTGAAAAGAGAGGTACATACATTGTATTGTGATTTCCATCATTTGAAGTTATTATACCATGGAAGGTGGACCCTATTTCTTTATTATTTTGTTACTTTTTAAATTATATATATATATATATATATATATATATATATATATTTTAATGTAGGGTCCAGGGCTTGAATTCTATCTAGGACCAACAAAAAAAAATATAAATTTTACATTATTGTGGACATAGTGTATAAGTATTTGAGAACTTATAAATCAATTGAACATATCCTACGATTTGTCAATCTCCTTGACCCATCTCTGAAATAAGAGCGGTAAAAGGCCCTTGAGTTTGGATTCAAACTTATGAATCATAGTTTTCATTGACATATTAAAATCACATATATTAATTAAACCATCAAATATGTCATTAATTGGTAGCAACAAGTTTATGCCGGGAATATGCTCACCCACACGGTCCAAACAAGGATGCAAACATCTTATTATAACCCCCCAAAAAAATAAAAAATAAAAATTGGCATATAAGATTACGTACATGATTACACAAACGTATATAAACATCCTATATATAATAAAGCCATATGGTCTTGTGAAAATTAAATGGTGATAATCAACATTTAATTTTTACAAGACCATAATAATATTGTCCTTTATATAATAAAGCTATATGGTTTGGGAAATAATTAATATTACAATTAATGCCACAACATCCTTTATTATTAAAAAAAAAAAGCACAACATTTAAAAAATAAAATAGTTATATATTATATAATCATATAAAAAATATACTTTTGAAAAATAAAATAGCTATATATTATATAATCATATAAAAAATGTGTTCAATTAGAGTTTAAATTTACACATACAAAATTTGAAATTTGCTTTCCAAATGTAATTATCTTAGTTATTATTTGTACTGTGAAAATTATAATATAAATGAAATACAATTAAGAATAAATCAATGTAATTATGTAAATTATCTCTATAAGTTTATTTGAATATGTACATAATTATAGATTATATTAACCATACAAAGATATAATTTTAATTTTAATTGTAATTTTGTATTCTATAAAAATAATAAATACTTGACCAATGGAAGCTCAAAAATATTATTATATTAAATAATTTAAAATATTTTAGTTTTTCTATTTTTTATTTATATTTATAATAACATAATTTTTTTCGTGCATAGCGCGGGTGAATTACTAGTAATAGTATATATGCAATTAAGGTCATCACCCGCTTTACCAATTTGAATCCGTTAGCCAATAGCCATTGAGCATTTGAGCCACCTCTTAAATCTTATTGCGCTCACACATTTATTGTTTTTATAATCTAGATTAGATAAAAGCAGCAAATAAGTCTTTAAACTTTATAAGAGAAGTCAACAATTTTAAATTTTTTAAAAGTTTCAATTAAACTCATCAATATGTTATTTTGGTGCATCAGAGTCTGCAAATCGATTAGTGACATGTAATATAGCAATTTATTAGGGTTCTGGCGAGATCCTGATAACGTTTTGACTACTCAACCCGATAACCCGTTTTCCATGGTTTTGCCTTTTTTTTTTTTTTTTTTTGCTCCACTTTGTATAACTTGTTCAATTTATTACCAAACACCTTTCTACAATCAACTAATATTATCAACTAGTTATACCTTCTAATTAACCCAATCAACTAACAGCTATTAGCTAACAATCATTTACCAAACAGGGCCTTAACGTAAATTATAATACAAATTAAATACCTAGTTTTTTTTATTATCGAAATATATTTACTCCAATTATTATTATCATCACAATCAACTTGTGTTATTTGACCAAGTAATGTACAGTAGTTACCCACTATTCACTAAATGTCAGAAATATCACTATCTTCATGTCTGTAACCAATGAATTATGGATCCAATTAACGTCTTTAATTACTCTTTAGCACCCTTGTTAACGTTATCCAACTCATCTTCCTTGGCATTATACATACTTACATTGACCACACACCACTACCGAGTCGAATCATCAATCGATCTCATCCATCAACCACTCTGCGGTTGTGTATTTTTTCTTTTAGTTACTACCAACTTCACTACTGATTTTGTAAAAAATTTAATTAATTAACATTGTCTTCAATTTTCAAAAAAAAAAAACATTGTCTTCAATTTACGAGAAAGTCTACAACCGCTACTCGAAAGTGTGCTTTGCGTGAAGTTCGTTTTGTGACCATAATCGATAAAAGATCACAAGGAACTAAACCAACATAAATTGCCTATAGCAAACTAAGGTCAATAAACAATTTTCACAAGAAGTCAAATTTGAAATCTAGTTGATTATCAAAATTAACATTGTCCTTTATTCAATATGATGAGTAGTTGTCAATTTTAAATGGAAAAAGTGTCAAATTGACCCCCTAAGTCGAGTGGATAGTGCAATTGGGTCTCTTAAGTGAAAAAAACTACATTCAAGTCCCCTAAATCGATAAAATTGTTCAATTAAGTCTAATTTGACTTGTTTATGAGGTTAAATCGATGTGTTGTTGACGCATGTCATTTTTATTTTATTTTTTAAAACAAAATATTTTTTATTTATTAAAAATTAGAAATAATTATTTATTATAAATAAATAAATAAATAAAAAGTGAACAGCCACCGGCTGTCCGGGCTGTCTTCTTCACGGACAGCCGTGGTTGTCTGGCATGACGGCCACGGCCGTCTAAAGAAGATAGGGGTGTTAGTGAACAAAGCTTTCGGTAAATTGTACGTGTTCGTTAAGTGTTCGTTTATTAAGGTAAACAAACATAAATGAACAAGTTTTATAGTCCGTTTAATAAACGAACAGAGTCTGAATATTTGTATGCTCGTTTGCTAAGAACTCGTGAATGCGTTCTTTAGTGTTTGTTTAATAATAATGTTATTGAACATGCTAGTTTATTGCTTGTTTAAAACTGTTCATGAACAAGCTCATTTAAGTGCATTTTATTTTATTTTATTTTTTAGAATTTTAAGATACTACTTTAGTTTAGCCTAAATTTTTAGTTTTTATGTTTTTTGTTTGGTTATTGTTTGTGAACATAGACTATTTCTAGTTCATGAACATGTACTAATGTGTTCGTTTGTTTAGTGTTCGTGAATGTATTCGCTAATGTTAACTAACACATTCGCAAACGTTAACGAACAGTACCGAACGCTTAACAAATGAACATGACCATGATATTCAAAAATCATAACAGACAAACACAAACACTCTAAAAATGAATTTAAGTAATAGAATTATGCTCTATCCACTCAGCGGCCTTTTCTGAAACATTACACCTATGCATATATCCACTTTAGAATCCTTTAGTTTGGTTTGAGCCTCATATATTATGAGTGTGGTCGTTGGAGGCTTAGAGCTTTTTTCGATGCCTCGACCCAAATATTGAATGACTGGCTAGGATCTAAATTATTATTTATAGTAAAAACTTAAAATTGATCAAAGTTCACTTATCTAGGCTCGTTAGATCAATAAAATGAACTTGTAAAACGTAGGCCAACAATTTAGCCATGATTGGCTCTGATTATTTGACTTGAACACAGGTAAATTTCTTGATATGCCTAAGTGACAAAATAATAATAATTATTATTAGTATTATTTAAAAGAAGAAAAAAAAGATTGATGATTTTAATAAGGCAAAGCATCGTTGCTGCGATGTTTCGCTCAAGGAAACAGACAAGGGGAGAGACGAAGCAAAGAAGAAGATTATTGAGGAAATGGTTGCTCCGCCCCAGTCCCCAGTCCCCAGTCCCCACCATTATTTTAAACCATTAATCAATATGTATAACCCCACCACCAAACAATTAATTAAACCCAAATGACGTTCAAACTAATATGCAACTAAAAGTCTTTAGTATTAAACTTGTTAAAAAACAAAAACTTTTAATTTTAATCTTTCCTCTGGCCTAGCCTTCAAGAAATACCAAGTTTTGGAAGTCAAAGCCACACACCAACCATGTTTGTTGCAGAACTTTGTAAACCTCTTACCTGAGATGCCCTTTTGTCCCCAGACACTCTCTGTTCTTCTTCCCCAGATCAAACATTCTTCACTATAATTAATGAACCTGTACTTCAATGTTTTGTGCATAAACTGAAACTCATATCTTAGTATAGTCTGATTCTGGCTTTGATGACCTGATGGAGCAACACTCTTTCATGTTGAGAGGATGATGGATTGCTGGAATTCGAGGACGGCCAACCGCTATATCCTCTTCTGCATCATCCTCTTCATTCAATCAACGTTTGCACAAGAAGGTATGTATACAAACAGGAAAAATATTCGTTAGATTAGTCATCAGAACTTTTAGAATATAACCCAAGATCTCTGCAGGATATGATGAAATGAAAAATATAAAGAGACTTGTATTTTTGTCATCTTTTTTCGTGTATCCAGAACGGTTAAAGCCTGTTACATTGATATTTCTAGCAGGGTTCATAAGCATACAGTGCCGAGATATAATTGAGCCCAGAAAGGCTCGGTTTTTCAGCTCGGATCTAGTCCTAAAAACAGCAGTTATCCATCCAGAAAGGTTGGAGTTTGTGCACGAAGACCTTGATACTGGGCACTACAACTATGTGCTCCACCTCCATCTCTTTGAGCTTAATGATTCTGTTCAAGCTGGACAAAGGGTGATTGATATATATATCAATAATGAAATGAGGCAACGAGTTGATATCTTGGCTAGCAATTCACGCTACCAAGTGGTCGTTCTGAACTTCACGGCAAACAGGTTTCTTAATCTTACTTTAGCCAAGGCCTCAAATGTCTCACAATTAGGACCGATTTGTACTGCCTACGAGATTTTCCAAGCCCTTCCCTGGACTAAAGAAACAGCTCCAGAAGAAGCTCTTCTCCCTACTTCCAGATATTTCCACAGAAAAATTCATTACAGCAGAAAGTTATTGATGAGCAGTATTAAGGAGTCTAATCTCACCACAGCGTAAGAATTCATACCTTCTCTTTAGAAGAAGTTTAAAAGGTTTCTCATTAAGATGAATGTTTCAAGAAACACCTCTAATTATTTCTTTTCATTTCTATATTTCAGTAAGACGATGAGTAATGGTAACAGATCTTCAAAACCAACCAGTGTGATTGTGATAGCTGGAGCGGTAGGTGGATCTGTCCTATCAATCGCTGCAATAATTATCGTTGTCGTTTATTTCTGCAAACGGAGAGCAAGGGTGTTAAGGTCATACAGTATGAAAAGGCACTCAATGACCAGGAGTAAGCATTCATTTCTCTATTTTCAGTAACACTGCTCATATTAGGGAGGCAGCAATGCAGCATACTAACCAAAGTTCGTTATTATTCAGATGCAATTTTTTCGATGCCATGCACCGATACTTCCCCATCAAAGTCTACACCCCAGTATTTCACATTAGCATATATAATGTCAGCTACCCAGAATTACATGACATTGATAGGAGAAGGGGGATTCGGATCTGTCTATCGTGGCACTTTACCTGACGGTGAAGAGGTGGCTGTGAAGGTCCGATCAGCCACTTCGACTCAAGGAACAAGAGAATTCGACGCTGAGGTAATGACTAGTGCTAGAAGACTACGAATAGGAAACAAGTTTCCATATGCCTTACCTACCTAAATCCCTAAGACTGCCGAATCTATAGAGATTCCAAATAGTATATCTATATTCCATAACACTTGCCAATTACTGTAACTCTTCTTTCTGATATATTTTACAGCTGAACCTTCTCTCAGCTATTCGACACGAAAACCTGGTTCCACTACTTGGCTACTGCTGTGAGAATGACCAGCAAATACTCGTCTACCCATTTATGTCCAACGGCTCCCTACAAGATCGATTATATGGTAGGCATTTCACATTTTTCCCAATCTCTTTGAAAGCAACAATGGGCTAGCTACCCTCATTTACTTTGTTTTCTTTCCTCATTTCCATCAGGAGAAGCCTCGAAACGAAAAATTCTTGACTGGCCAACCAGACTTTCCATTGCTCTAGGCGCTGCACGAGGCAAGTAAAATGAGGCTCTATTAGTTATTACTGCACCCCAGAACTCATAATACAAAGAAGAAAGCATGAAATATTTCACACTTTTTTGTATCATAGTATTCTAAGATGAGGTTGTTTTATTTAGGATTGTTGTACCTGCATACATTCGCGGAGCGTTGTGTGATACATAGGGACGTGAAGTCAAGCAACATACTACTGGATCATAGTATGTGTGCAAAGGTTGCCGACTTTGGATTTTCAAAATATGCACCTCAAGAGGGAGATAGTGGAACTTCTCTAGAAGTACGAGGTACAGCTGGTTACTTGGACCCAGAGTAAGTGTCATTAATACTAATCATTATACATGGAATGCATATTTTGAATCAAAACAACCTAAATCCTATAAACAACATAGGTACTACTCAACCCAACACCTATCAACAAAAAGCGATGTGTTCAGCTTCGGAGTAGTTCTGCTCGAAATTGTGAGTGGTCGAGAGCCTCTCAACGTCAAAAGGCCAAGAAATGAGTGGAGCTTGGCTGAATGGGTATGTCATCTTCATAATCTAAAATGGTTTCTAACTTAGCCATAAATGATTCCTAAAACCAATCTAACCATCACCTATCCCAATGCTTACAGGCCAAACTTCAAATAAGGAACTCAACAGTGGAAGAAATCGTAGATCCAGGCATAAAGGGAGGGTACCACGCAGAGGCATTGTGGAGAGTGGTGGAGGCGGCATTGGCATGTATAGAGCCGTACTCTGCGTACCGGCCATGCATGGCAGACATCGTAAGAGAACTCGAGGACGCCTTGATCATAGAAAACAACGCATCAGAGTATATGAAGTCAATAGACAGCTTCGGAGGATCCAACCGTTTCTCTATAGAAAGATCAGGTGTCCTATCAGCAGCACCAAAGTTCCAAACAGATGCATCAAATACCCACTTGAAACCACCCCCTCCACAACCAAGATAAACTCTATTCAAGGGGTAACCAAAGTTCCAAACAGATACATCAACCTAGACTGGTTTACTTCCTTGTGATCCTTAGCCGGCTAGGGTTACAAGGCGGGGTTTACCTACACCCGAAAGGGTTGTGGGGTTTCCCTACATCGCTTGTAATATCAAATTCACGAGGACAAAATTATATTTTAAAAAAAGTTTTGTAATTTAATCAAATTCCTTTACTAGCAGAATGTATCCTAATCCTACTTAACTTTGCTGCAAAAGGATTAATTCTGTGATATACTGATTCCTAAGGTAAATTATAGCATGACCAGAGATCACCCTGCTCCTAGTTCTTTGAATTCACAATCACTTATTTTCTAACTTAAATTTATTCAAGTCAATTTCATGAATTTAACTTTGCAAATTTTATGACCTGCATTTGAGATCGCCGTGCAAGGTGAAGGTGTTTAACCTAAATTTTGAACATTTCCATGTGTTTGAACTTTGAACTAAATATTCATCAAAACTTGTACACAACAATAATTCAATGATGAAGTCTAATTTATAAATAAATAAATAAAGTTGAGAAATTTAAAGAGAAATTATTACGGCTTCAACCGAGAGGCCTCCATCCATTGCGTGTATCTGAAATCTGAGACTCTCAGAGAGCGCTTCAAACAGAGAACTCTTCCTCATAAAAAGCTTCTTACAGATTTTGAAGTTTAAACTAACCCAAAAAATATTTAAGGAAAAATGAAATTATTACAATATGGATTTCATTGTGTGGTTTGTAGAAAAGAAATTACTGTAATTGTAGATTCAATTGCGTGATTGGGTTTAAAATTGTAAAGAATAATAAATATCGAGTCTAAAAGCATAATAAGCATCAATCAAAGTTATATTCATCATTTATGTTCATTTTTTGTCTTATCATTTTATACATTGTTCTTTTAGAGTTGTACTATATAAATTTTTTGGATACAAATACACCTACCGTTATAATTTTCGTTATCTTTTTCATTATTATTACTATGCACGTGCATCTACCATATATTTTTTTTATATTGTTTAATGATAATAATATTTGTAGACATTATATATTGAATTATTATAATAAATAAATTTTATTTTATATAGATTTTAATTAGTAGAAATTTATTAATTATTTTAAAAAATATAAATATTGAACATATGTTTTTGCACATCGTGCATAGAAAAGATTAGTAATAAATGTAAAGATTAATATGTTCCTAAAAATAATGAATAACTAGGATTTTATTATTTATATACTTATGTATTTAAGAAATTTTCATGAAGGTGAAATAGTCCGGCCATATTATTTTTTTCCCAAGCCCCGCATAAAACAAAATATCACCCTTCTGCTTAGAATTTATTTTCCTCACTTTGGAAAACAATCATGTGAGAGAGAAGTGAGGGTCGCTTCAAAGGAGAATTGAATAGGGTTCAATTCTTCACAAATTCTTGCAAAACTAGGAACAGTGACCCATGACCAAAACGGGCACAGTCATGAGAACAGAGCATGGTTGGGATCGGCGGTTCCTGTGTGAGATATGTCGTCGTCTACGCAAACGAGAATAAGTTCAAAGACATCGCATTCTACCGTACACCCAGTAGAGTAAATGTATCTTCATAAGGGAAGGTTCAAAGGGTAACACCTACCTATCCTATGCAGGGATCCACCGTTGAACATAGTTGTTTCCGATTTCAAAATACCCCAAAATCAATTTTTCATTCATGTGGGGATTGTTGAAAAAAAATAACTTATAATGGCATAATAAGTGACTATTTTGTGGTACAATCATTAGTGGGTTCCACTTCCGATTTGGATCGGGTCAAAGTGGAATCAGGTTCTTCAAAGTAACATGAAGAGATTGATATATATTATATGCTTAAAACGGATAATGGGGGAATGAGAAATTAATTATCAAAGTAGACCTATTTGAGTTGGAAAAATGAAGAGAAAAAGTAGTTTTTGTCCCACATTGGTTTGGGAAGTGGGTTTACACCACTATTTATACAAGAGAGCCTTTTTAAGGCTTATTGAATTGTATAGTATAGATGTTCTTTCTTGTTTATTCTTGTCCTCTTACAATAATTCTTTTTCGTAAGATTATTATTGGATTTTTCCAACCTTATTTCCTATAGAACGTACCCTATTAGGGGTATATATGACATGCCACATGATATTATCCTTCTCATAATAATCATTTTTCGTAAGATTATTATTGGATTTTTCCAACCTTATTTCTTATATTCTTATAGGACGTACCCTATTAAGGGTATATATGACACGCCACATGATATTATTACACAATATCATATCGCTTGGAACGTACAAGGAAACCTAGCTACTTCTTGGATGAATGAAATGTAATGTAATTAATGCATGGGAGCTTGGAAGATGAGCGAGTTTAACATATATATTTTAAGCCTGATTATTTGCTATACATTCTGGTGATAAACTACTCAAAAGAAACATATATATATATATATATATATATATATATATATATATATATATATATATATATATATATATATATATATATATATATATATATATATATATATATATATATATATATAATTCCACTGCACGGAGTGAAATGGAATATATAGCTAGTGTTGAGTCATCAGGCCAGGGTGAAGTTGTGCTTTAATTTATTACAGGCAGTATATATTGAATGGAACTATGTGGGCAGCCTACATATATAAATTCTTTCTGCCTTCGCTTCTATAGTCAACTGATTCTGGCATGTATGTGTAACATTTGTAAAAATAGATCAGATCAGATTATCCCCACAACCCATACTTGTTAGCTTAGTGTTTTTGTTGCATTTTCCTGCTTGCCTGCCTTCAGTAGCCTCTACCTGCACCAAAATAGCCAAGAGGGGCATTTATTGAAGGATATATATGCTTAGTGTTCAATGAATGAGTAGTGCAATAATTGAAGGATATATACGCTCCGTCTCAACTAAAAAGTCAAACCCATTAATTTTTGTATGGGGTTGGCTCTGATACAAAATTATTAAAGGATGTGCTCTGTCTTAATTAAAAGGCTAAGCTATAGTTGGATTGCACATTTATGTTTATATATTAATTATAGGGAAAATTGTAAAAGATGTCCTTCTATAATATGCCAATTATCAATGTCATCCCTGAATTATGAGTGGTGTAAATGTTGTCCCTCAATTATCAAAACGGTGCACATATAGCCCCTCCCGTAACGGACATGTGGTTCCCCGTTAGTGTAGTACGACGCCGTTAAGTCGGAGTAAATATGTAATTTAGTTGTTTTTTTCCCCCTCGATTCGAAGTACCAGGGATGGACAGCGGTAGGGAACCACAGGTCTGTTACAGGAGGGGTTATATGTGCACCATTTTGATAATTGAGGGGCAACATTTACACCACTCATAATTCAGGGGTGACGACATTGATAATTAGCATATTATAGATGGGCATTTTTTACAATTTTTCCATTAATTATATGTTGAATATGGGCTTACCCAGAGTCTGATGCTCTTGACATGACATCAAAGTTTTGAGGCTGGCAGCTTAACTGGAGATGCATGGGGCTAAGTGAATCCCTACACAAGGTGAAATCAGTTGTATTCTTGGTCACTGCACCATCTGGATCTCTTTTGCCATAAGCCTGAAACATTAATGAAATCAATTAACCTATTTCTCATCTCATCTGCCATTTAAGAATTGAAAGCCAGAAATAGTTTATTTTATTTATTTATTGCCTCAAGTTTCATACTAGATTAGTGATATATAAGAATACCTGTTTGTACAGTTCCAGATTTTCTTGTTGAATGAGTTTTACCTTCTTATACAGTTCCAGATTTTCTTGTTGTATAATAGTCCCCTGTATGAGTTCGATCAATAAAAATAAAAAATAAAAAAAAAGTTAGTTTCTCTCTTTCGAAACCTATTTAATTAGACGACGATATGGATTTACCTTTCGGGTTAGCTCTTGAATCTCATTAATTAATATCTGTTCCTGTAAAAACCAGGAAATAAAGAAATTAAAGGGCCTCAATTTATTATATTCTGTTATTGAAAACTAGTAAAAATTAGTACAGACCTTTTTTGCCCGGATGCCCTTTAAACTCATATCCAGTTTGTTCTCAAGATTCTGTAGATCTTTAACACTTAAACCATATAGTTCTTCTCCCATCAATTGCCTGCAGGTTTTATGAATTCACAATATATATATATATATATATATATATATATATGATGATGAGTTAGATAGGTGTTCATAACAGATATTTTTATGCATATATATATATATAAATATGTAGGTTACCGATGATTTTGTTGGAGGCTGTGTAGTTCTTTCCTCAAATTTGTTGCTTCCCTTTGCCAAAACTAATAACAAGTGCAGATATAATGCTCATGAATACATTGTGATAGGAGGTACCCCTTCCTTCTTTGGTAATCATGCATATATAAATGAAAAATACTTGGTTTGAGTGAATCAGCTATGGACAACTTAGGCTGGTTTACCTCTTTATGGTCCTTTACCGGCTAGGGTCACAAGGCGATATTTACGTACCTAATGCACACTCTCGGTAGTGGTTCTGAATTTTCCTCGTCACCCAACAAATAAATAAAAAATACTACATATACTCCTAACTTTTACTCTTTATTTCAAAATATATGATTTAGACAACTTTAATTTTTCTAAGACCTAGAAAATGGAGATGTCCTATTAAAACTTGTCACATTAGGAAATTTAATTGAACTAGTAGAATTTGGGAGTCCGTACAGTAACTCTATATGAATGGTGATCTGATCTATTGTCATACCTTGAGTTCTGATGCTGAATCCTGCAGTTGCTGGCTTTGCTCTTTCGTCTTATTATATCCTTCCATAATTGCTTTCATGCTACACTCAAGTTGGAAACCACAAACAAACCCATCAATATTATTATTATTATTATTATTATTATTATTATTATTATTATTATTATTGGTACTTTTTTTTTTATAACTTTTGAATACTCATTTCATCTCTATTCTTCTGACCAATTGATGAATCAAACATTGGAATACATGTCCTAAGTCTATTCATTAAGCAAATTACCAACTAATGAAATAACATTTCTATTCTTTCAAAAATCATTTTATAAATCAAACATGTTGTAATTGTAATATAAATATGAATAAGTATTGTGTAAGGACGTCTCACGTGAGACATTTAATGTCTTTTAGTTCAAATGTACTATATATAATAATTTTGTCTAGCATTATTCAAATTGCAATGTGTAGAATTATATACACACATATATGAACTTTTTAAAGGCATGTAATATGATAATATTCGTATTACAAATCAATTATTATACCATGGACCATAACTGCTGACATGAGATTCATTTTTTATATACTAAATATTCATTTTTAATACATTGAATGTTAATTTTCGAAGGTTCGTTTTTTGGTATACTATTAAAAATGAACTTTCAATTTATTAAAAATGAATATTTAGTATACTAAAAATGAACATTAATGAATGGTCCACATTGCAATGTCCACAAATAGTGTAGGCTAGAAAATGAAGCAATCCAAGTATAATCTAAAAACGTATGGGGTGTTTAATTTGGTTCAATAAATGCTTTTAGTTAATGTAACATTCTCATAAATTTCACATAATCTAAAAATGTGGGAGTAATGTGATTCCAATGAATATTTAAAATAAAATAAAATAAAAAAAAACAATTTGAAAATCTCACATTTCCTGCGAACTCACATCTTTGGAACCCACCAAGGAAATATAATTCATAGAGGTGAAAGTTGGAAAGAATGATCAGGATCGAGTCTTACCAACGACAGTGTGGGAGTAACCTCTCAAAGTGAGGGGGTTCCTTGTGCACATTAAGCAAAGGTCTAGCCTATGTGGTTTATGTTCAGTTGAGTTACCATAATTTACATTCTCCCAAATCCTCTGTCAGGTCGGGATATGGGGTGCCCTTAGGGTTAGGACTCAACCTTTTGGAAAGAATATTACAATATTCACATTCTAAAAGTATGTGAGATAGTTTGAACCAAATGCCTTCGAGCCAAATAAATATTTTGATTAAAAAAAAAAAAAAGGCAAAGAGTCAACTATCTTTTCTCTCACGTACACTCTCTTATGTTTATTTAGTGGAATATCTTCAGGGTTAACCGGCAATAGGTATGGATCTCATTGTTGGATCCTTAATTTATCATTGATTTAAATATGATAACTAAGCATTATGAATTGTTAAATATAATGTTAACCCCACTTAAGAGTACTGATCTAAAAAGATTTATGACATGGACTTTGAGTTCTAATGTATTTGATAAGTTGTTAGCATTTGAGTATGATATGAGATGGGTAATATATGTACCGTTTTGAAAATTGAGAAGCAACATTTACACCATTAATAATTTAAGAGTAGTATTGATAATTGGTAATTATGAAGGGACATAAATTACAATTTTTTTTAGTTTTGAAGGTTAAACACGCACAAAAGCTAACTATAGAAGTGTTTGAGCATCAATAATCTATCATTGACTCGATTAAGTAAGTTTCGATTTTAATTTATTCTTATAATTTGACAGGAAATCTTTTAAGTTTATGTGATTGTTTCCTAAACCGGATTATCCCGTCCCAACAAAAATTTCTCCTCTTAGTTTTCATTAAATACATACACACCCAAGGTTTAAGTTCCAGTGCAGGTGGATGCTTCCCGTGCGATTGTGCGAGTGATTAATATGCGTGAGTTTTGTACTTAATATGTATGATGAGTCTTGTGCTTAAGGTGCGTGAGGTTTGTGTTTAATGTGCGTGAGTGTGTAGTGTTTAATGTGCGTGAGTTTTGTACTTAAGGTGCGCGAGTCTTGTGACTAAGGTGCCTGAGTTGTGTGCTTAATGTGCGTAAGTGTGTACATAATGTGAGTTGTTGTTGAAACTTTAAACTGCATGAGTTTTGTGCTGAATGTGCGTGAGTTTTGTGCTTAAGGTGTGTGAGTTTTGTACTTAATGTGCGTGAGTGTGTACTTAATGTGAGTTATTTTTAAAACTTAAGGTGCGTGAGTTTTGTGCTTAAGGTCCGTGAGGGTTGTGCTTAAGATAATACGTGAGTTTTGTGCTTAAGGTGCGTGAGTTTGTGTTCTGAATATATTTTGTTTATGTGTTTACAGGGACGGAGCCAGGAATTTTGTTGAGGGGGGGCGAAATAGGGACCGATTCACAAATTTTTTTTAGTAAAGGCGAAACATTAAAATAAAAGAGATATTTAAAAATAAATAAATAAATTACCTAAGAAATATAGGTGTAAATATTATTGGATATGGGCGAAAAATAAAACAAATCGAAACTTTATAAAAATATTCATAACAAAATATGAAACATAATTAATTTGATAAAATAATTTGAATATATATATATATATATATATATATATATATATATATATATATATATATATATATATATATGTGTGTGTGTGTGTGTGTGTGTGTGTGTGTGTGTGTGTATCAAATATTAAAAAAACTATTAAAACGTGATTGTGTTAGAGTCATAGGGAAGGAGCCAAAAAACTATATGCTTCAAACGCCTAACCTTTATTATAACCAAATGCATACTCTACCAACTAATTTAACTCATTTCTTATGAACAATTAACAGTTTTTATATACTAATACTCAAAAATGTACTATATACACATACATACATACAAAAATTATATATGGAGTAGGGGTAGGGGTAGGGGTGGGGGTGGGGTGAGGGGGGGCAGCTGACCCCCCTGCCCCCCTTTTGGCTCCGTCTATGTGTGTTTAATGTGCGACTGTTGTGTACTTAAAGTGCGCCAGTGTAATGCTTAATGTGAGTCCACTCACATAACCGCACGAGAAGCACCACCCGCACTTGATCCCTTCCACACACCCAAAACCCTTAATTAGATCATTAATTGAATTTGATTGATACTGCTGCCATGCAGAATAATGTTTATCAATTATCTGCAGACTACTGCAACCTTAAAACTTCATTTGATTTATGCTCCATGTTAATTACATATAAATATAAAATTTAATTATATTAATCCAACTAACTACACAATTAAGTAAGTACCCACTACATAATTATATATATTACAAGTTGGTATCCATATCTGTAGGATTCAGATAGACATCATTACTCCTAACAGACAAAAGATTAATAAGAAAACATAAAACTAAATAATAATATATTGAATTGTTAGAGGAATTGAAGCTAAGCTAAGCTACCTACCTGGTACTTGCAAATTCATAGAGCTTCCCAGTGCTGGAGAAAATGACCAATCCGACCTCTGCATCGCAAAGAATGGCGAGTTCCTTAGCTTTCTTCAACAGCCCGTTTCTTCTCTTGGAGAAAGTGACTTGCCGGCTCGTCGTGTTATCGATTCGCCGGATCGGAATCTTTCCCCTCCCCATCTGATCTTCTATCCACCTAGCTAGGGTTTTCTGATCTGGAGAATAAAAACTTCAGATCTTTCAACACTACAGTACGTACAGTTTTAGGTTAAAAACAAAACAGATACATATATACATATATATAAAGAACAAGATTTGGGAGGGGAGCTGAGGAGCTTACACGGACCAGATTTATTTGAGAGAAAATTTTGGGTCAAAATATAATAGAAAAAGCAGCTTTAGTTTGTATAAGAAAACACAAAAGGTTAGCTCCTAAACCACTACTTATATTACCAGTTTGTCTGGAAACAGCTAAGAAAGTGGTTTGCATTTCCACTCTAAACAAGAGATAATTTCATTTCAGCCCCTATTATTTTATAAATTATGGGCAGTGCCCTACTGCCCTCAAACTTAACTGTGATGATCTTTCTCTTTTAGCCCCAGTAAATCATAACATGCTTAATTTAAGAATATTTAGGGTCCGTTTGGAAACATGAAAAATGACTTTCTGGAGTTATTTTTTGAATTTTTCAATGTTTAGGTATTCAAAGAAAATGTTTATTCTGATCAACAAAAAAATCTCCAATTTGATTTAAAATGTCATTTCTAGATTTTTAGTCATAAAAAATTTTCGGGATTCTTTATTTTTTCATTTCTCTTCTGTCTCATCTCTTTCAATGAAAATTTTGAAGTTTAAAATTTTAAATATTATTTGAAATTTGTGAATATAAGAAAAGAAAAATATTTATTAAATGAATTAATTGTTCTGATAAATGACATGAAAATTATATATATATATATATATATATATATATATATATATATATATATATGTATATATATATATAAATCAATAATAAATTAATGTTGAAAAATTAGTATAAATATGACATGCAAATAGTTATTTTGAGATAATATATATTTTAAGTGGGTCTATTAATGAGTTGGGTCAAGTTAGATTAGATTTATATTCATTTAGTTGAGGAGATGACTTTTAATTTTGCATATTTATACACCTAAAACGAATAATATGAGCATTAAAAATTGATAGTAAAAGTATATATTCATATATATAGTTGGAGAAATAGAGTTTGAAAACATTTTTAAGTAGTCTTTATCTTATATTAAAAATAAATATGAATTTGAATTAGTATAAATACATTTCAACTTTTTAAGATGTTTAAAATATATAATTAAAATATTCTCTCTTGTGGAGCTTTGCAAACTGGCTCAAACTTGTGTTACTGTTACATTACCATGGTATGATATGAGAATTTTTTTTTGAATGCTACTGACTCTATGACTATGATATGAAAAATTAAAATGCAATAAATTGTAGTTTTGAAATAGTTAGGGGTTAAAATGCCAATTTATAAAATATGATGGGTCTGTGTATAATACTCCGTACTTATTTATTGTTTTATTGATTTCTTGGACCAGTAAATGAGTACGACGTAGTGTATCCATGATTGACACGTAGGGACTAGGGATTCCAAGTGTTTCTTCAGAATTACTAAAAGAGGAAATGTTGCTTTCCTATTTAAGTAACATTAAACCTCGAAACATTAATGGAACAATTAAATAAAAATAAAAATAAAACCTCTTACCCAGTAAACACCTGCTAATTCTGACATTAAAACTTTTAGATATATTTTTCGAGGAATTTTCACGTGGATTTGTCGACACGACTCCTTTCAACATTACTACATATTTATTAATTAATCTGTCTATTTTTATTAAATACTATAGACTCTGTTATTTGTTCATATATATATATTTTAACCTATTGAAACACAAAGAGTTATTGTTTCACTGGGATCAAACTTGCAATATCATATTTGAAAATGTCACATTATGTTGCTTGACCAAAAAGTCTGGCTAATTAATGTGTCTATAGTTACTTTTGGAAGCGTTTTATTTAAGTTATGCTACAAGACCTTCAACAATTTGCCAATTTGGGTGTATTTAAATATTATATGTTTTCATTTGATTCCCAAATGGGATTTTTCCCATTTTTAAAAGTAACATGAATGATATGACACTAAAGGCTAAAGCAAGATTTTAATTTTTATTCTAGATTGTTGACATATTTTAGACTATTTTTTTTTTTTGAAATACTCAAAAAAAAAAAATTTTAATGAGAGCACTAACGATACGACACTCAAGCTAATACATTAATTCCACCACAAAAAAAAAAAAAAAAAAAAAAAAAAAAACTAACTCCGGGTGTAGAGATGTAACATCAACTTAACTATTATTACGTACTATACAATCTCTTGTATATGCAGTTAATGTAGATCATATCAGTAAAATTTGTTAGAATATATTTTAATTTTTGTTAGATTTATTTCATTTTTGTTCTCTGATCTTAATTATAACAATTTTTTTTTCACTTTTGGTCATTAATACTGAATTATTTTACTTTTAGTTCATGACTTCAGCAAACATTTTAATTTACTTTTAGACTGGTAGTTCAACAATTCCTTAAATATAGTATGGTGACATTTAATTTAGTAAAATTTTCACAAAGTGAATGCATTTTAGAGTAAAGTGAAATATTTTTGAAGTTAAGGATTAAAAATAAAACAAATTAAAGTTGATATTAAAAGTTAAAATGTTAGTATAATTGAGATATCAAAAAAGTAAAATATTTTTTTAATACTTAGAGAATCTCATTTCCTGAAATTTGGGATGTCAATTCTAACTGGAAACAAATGAACAAACCTAACCAGACTGAAAAAGTAATAGATTAGGGTAAAAAAAAATGATAAAAAACATCATGATAGTCGGAACCCAATAAATCATATGGCTCACGGCATGAGTTTTTTTTTTTTTTTTTTTTTTTTTTTTTTGGGTACATTTGAAGCCCTCAATGAGAGCGATTATCTGACTCTAAGATTCGGTATTCTCATAGTGTCAGCGTAGAGCAAACCATATAGCTCTTCCGGGGCATTGTTTAGGATGCTCGTGCCCCAGCTAGTTGTTTGGCCCATGTTGGCCAGCCTATCTGCGCACTTGTTCCCCTCTCGGCCTATGTGAGAAATCCGGCATGAGTAACCTAGCTTGAAATTGTCATAAATAAAATCATACTTATGTAAGATCATCTCACGGATCCTTATATGTATTTTGTAAGATGAGTCGGGTCAATAAAAAAATGCAATATTTATACTGAATTGAAAAATGTAATACTAATACGGAAAAACATGTTTAATTTGTTACTTATAAAGAGAAGTGTAATACTTTTGAAGAAGATAATAAACTAATCTTAAATCGTTCATAACTGATCAATTAAAATTAAATCAAAGAAAACCAATAAAGGATAACTATCACTAATAAATGTCAAACTTGAAACATTTTGATGTTTTTTTGGGAGTACGCTAAGTATTGGGACATTAGTTTATGGACAAGCGTCTTAGAATAAGTTTTAAGGACACCTGAAAAAAGTTGTATTTGATACAATAATGTGGAGCATGAGCAGGTAGATGAGACTTAGGAAAGGTTAACAGTACAGGGTGGATTGTGTGAAAATTAAAGATGGTCTGCCATTGGCTAAGTCCACGTGAAGATTTGTATATAAATATTGTTTTGTGGCCAATAAGATTCTGTATGTCTTACTGCAAAAATAATTGATTGCTTAATTAAATTAATTAATAAAAAGGGATCAATAGGAGCTTAATTAGACAGGTCACAGGTGTCAATCATCAGCATATATTTAGAAGAACAAGAAAACGTTTAATTTTCATCTAATATAGTTGACTTCTTGTTGGCAACACTAGAGGTGTCAAATGTAGGGGTGTTAGCGAATAGAATTTTTGATAATTACTCGTATTCGTGTTCGTGTTCGTGTTCGTGTTCGTGTTCGTGTTCGTGTTCGGTAAACGTTCGTTTATGTTTGTTTATTAAGGTAAACGAATATTAACAAACAAAATTTAAAGAACTCGATTTATAAACGAATAGAGTCTGAGCAGTTGTAAGCTCGTTTGCTAAGAGATCGTGAACAAGCTCGTTTAATTTGTGTTCGTTTAATAATGTTCGGGAACAAGCTCGTTTAGTGTTCGTTTAATAATGTTGGTGAACAAGCTCGTTTATGTTCGTTTAATATTTGTTTGTACTCTCTATGTAGTTGTGTTACTTGTTTGGTTGTTTTTTGTGAACATAAATTATTTTTTGTTCACGAACGAATTGTGATTATGAACATGTTCATATATTTGGTTATTAAGCATTCACGAATGTGTTTATAAACGTGAACAAACATGTTTGCAAATATTAATAAACATGTTCGCAAACGTACTTGTTACTAAACAAGTTCGTGAACATGCTCATTAATGTTAACGAACACGTTTGTGAATGTTAACAATCTGTTTGACACCTCTACCACTAGTTTTCCCATATAATGAGCTGAGAGCAAATTATACCATTACAACTACATGATGGATGCGATCATACCAGCACTAATGCACCAGATCCCATTAGAACTCCAAAGTTAAGCATGATTGGGTGAGAGTAGTACTAAGATGGGATTGGGCGAGAGTAGTACTAAGATGGGTGACTCCCTGGGAAGTCCTCGTGTTCATGGGCGGAGCCAGGATTAACCAAGGCGGGGGGCCAATCACGATTTAAGAGAGAATAATGCAATATAATAATATTCATTTAACATGTTCTAAAATACATCATTATATTACAAATCTATTCAAATTTAGACCGTCTCTCTTGCATGTCACGAATTAAAATCATCTATAATTGAATCTATACTAAATTGTTCTAATAGGATCCAGCCACCACTGCTCGTAGCCAGTAGCCTGAGTTCAATGCGATTGACGTCGTCAATTGAGAAAATGAAAGAGATGATTTAGGCATTTAGCTACCATTTAACTACAATATCTAGACTTTTTATTGTAGTGAAGATTGATGAATTTATCTCCAATAAAGAATAATTCATAAAAAAAAATTCAAAGATTTAAATAATAAAAAAGAAATGTAAGATTACCTATACACTTACTACTTGAAAATGGAAGAGAAATGCCTTGTGTGTATTGCTATGATTTGCGTATGCGTATCTGGTTTGATTTGGAATTGGGTTGATTTGAGTGAAAACTTATACAAGAAGCTTTGTTTGAGGAGGGAAAATGTTTTGGTGACTAGTGAGGGTGCCATAATTGACTTTCACATTATTAATAAAAAAAAAAATTGGGGGGGGGGGGGGGGGGGGGGTGCAGGCAAGCAAAAAGGCCCCCTGCTGCCTAATACTAATTATAAAAAAAAAAAAAAAAAAAATTGTTCGGGGGGGGGGGGGGGGGGGGGGGGGGGGCAGGCCAAAACCCCCGTTTTTTTGAAAGTTACTGGCTTTATTACATTGTAGTATCTGTTCATATACTTTCTCAACCTACTGAAACACAAAGAACCAATAACGCCTCCACTAAGGCTCGAACTCATAATCTTCTAAATGAAAGTCCAACCCGGATACCATTAGACCACATAGTCCTGGTCCCACCCTCGTTTTTTAATTTGTCGTCTTTATTAATTTTTCTTTTAACAGCAAAGAGTAGTACTAAGATGGGTGACCCCTTGGGAAGTACTCGTATTGCATCCCCATCCCCGTTTTTTAATTTGCCGTCTTTATTAATTTTTCTTTTAACAGCAAAGGAGTTAGGCGCTAGGAGGGATAGAATTTGCGCGGTGAGAATGGGTCAAGTACATTTTGCGCGCAGTACATGACGGATGTGATCATACCGACACTAATGCACCGGATTCCATCAGAACTTTAACTTTAAGCGTGCTTGGGCGAGAAGGCGAGAGTAGTACTAGGATGGGTGACCCCCTCAAAAGTCCTCGTGTTGCATCCCTACCCTTGTTTTTTAATTTGTCATCTTTATTAATTTTTCTTTTAACGGCAAAGGCGTTAGGCAATCCGCATAAAGTAGGTATGTTTGTATAACATATTTAGTTTCATTTTATATATACATTGCAATTTAATTTCAACACAATTACAGTTTCATTTCGAGATAACTACAGTTTCATTCGGCATTATACACTCAAATATGTAAAAGTGTTATTCAATTTCATTTTATATACACTATGATTTTATTACAATACAACTACAATATCATTTCGATATAACTACAGTTTCATTGGACAATATACACTCAAATATGTGAAACTGTGATTCAGTATCATTTTATATACACTGCAGTTTCATTTCAACACAACTACAGTTTCATTTCGATATAACTACAATTTTATTCGACATTATACACTCAAATATGTGAAATTGTTATTCAGTTTGATTTTATATACACTATAGTTCATTACAATACAACAACAGTATCATTTCGATATAACTACAGTTTCATTGGACAATATACACTCAAATATATGAAACTGTTATTCAGTTTCATTTTATATACACTGTAGTTTCATTTCAACACAATTACAATTTAATTTCAATTCAATTACAGTTTTAATTTGACAATATAAAAACAATATGTGAGACAGTTTAATTTTAAATACACTGTAATTTCATTTTGTAATTAACACACTAAAAATGCAGGCTCCGTTAAGCTGTAACGGAACCATTTCTTTACTTAAAAAGACGATGTCGTTTTTCTTTGTGGATCATGGTCCACGATATAATTGCTAATGAAGCCGAATATAAAGAATTTAAGCCTAATAAAGAAAATAAAGCCCATACATATAATGGGCTCTCTCAAGCTTACCAATTGTCTAGTGGCAAATTATGCCCTGGACCCGTGTCCACAATTCATTGTGGACACGGGCCCAAAACGACATCGTTTTTCAAAAAAACGCGTCATTTAGTTAAAAAAAAAAAATTCGCGCGCGTTTTACCGTTAACGGCGTTATTTTTTTTTTTGGATTATGAATGTACAGTTATGCAATTATGAAATTATGAACACAGAGCTCTAACATTATGAACTTACAATTATGAACATATATAGTGATAAAATTATGACCATGGAGCTTTAAAATTGTGAATATAGAGTTTCGAAGATTATGAATGTACAGTTATAGAGTTATAAATCTACAGTTATGGAGTTATGAATCTACAGTTATGAGATTATGAATCTACAGTTATGGAATTATGAATGTACAGTTATTGATCGAATTATGAACAAAGAGCTCTAACATTATGAACTTACAATTATGAACATATAGTGATAAAATTATGAACATAGAGCTCTAAAATTGTGAACATAGAGCTTTGAAAATTATGAATGTACAATTATGGAGTTATGAATGTACAGTTATGACGTTATGAATGTACAGTTATAGAGTTATGAATGTACAGTTATAGAGTTATGAACGTACAGTTATGGAGTTATGAATGTATAGTTATTAACATATAGTAATAAAATTATGAACATATACTTCTATAACAAAGTGGTCTGAAATTAAAAAAAAAAAAAAAAAAAAAAAAAAAAAAAACTGTTACCCGTGTCCAGCAAGCATGCTGGACACGGGTCCAAGGCATAACGATTGTTGTCTAGTGCCATTGTTATTGTAACGATAATAACTGCCCAAAATCCTTATAATTATCCCGCTCGTTTCTCTCACAATTTTGCCGCGAACCCAATTTCGGTTTTCGACGGAGCCATCAACCCAATCCGCTTGCTTCACGAGAAACATGTACGCCGTTGCACAATAAGCCAATGTATATGTAACTGTTTCTAACAATGCATTTCAGATGTTTGTTTAAATGCCGAAGAGTGATTTGCAGATCAGCTGGAGCCTCGACAGTGGATTACACAATGGGGATCAGGTATGTCAGTTTGTCATCATGCTTCTTAGATACTGGAAATCATAACACTTTTAGTTTATGATTTTAGTTTAGCAGAGTACGTGTTTAGTCTTACAGTCTATTTGTGAGCCTTTATGAACATTGGTAGTTTCTTTATGGGATTTATCTTTAGCAATAACATTTTTTTTTTCAATAAAGAAGCATTTTGAAATAGGATACTTAATTGTGTTGAATCTTCAAGAGGTTAGTGGAACAAAACCCCCAAGTAAAAGCATTTTAAAATTCTGCTCCACCTGTCCTTTCATATAAAATTATAAAAATGTGCTAAGGTCAAGATTAGTTTGGTTTCTTGTAGTAAACAAAACATTATAAGTTCTATTCTTTTTGCCAAATGCCAAGTATTTTCAATCTGTTGATAAGATTGCTGACTATTTCTCATGAATACTGACAAATAGGGTTTGTTGAAGTGTTCATCAGTTTGTTTCTTCTTGTTAATTTAATTTGTATTCCACAAGGCCATAGAGTTTACTTTCAGTAGGTGGAGAAGAAACCTAAGGAAAGTCTCTGTAATTTATATGGATTGGACTTTGATTGGAATGCAAGGAATTGAATATCAAATTCAAAATATCAATACCAGACCACCAATCTGATGTTATCTTTTGCTTAGAAAATTTGACACTGTTTCGCCGGCAATGGAATTGCCAAAAAATCTGTAATTTAAATTACCAGGCATGTGCATAAGTCAATCCTTGTCATGTATGGATTATAAAATAATATTGCTAGTTGGAATATCCATTGACATAGTATAGGTTAGGTTATGCTGCTTCTTAATTAAACACAACCTTTGGAGTCTGGGATAATCCTAACTGAATTGAAACATGGCCTTTTTCTTCTATAGTTCACCACCATCAGTTGCTTGTAAAGTCTGTTATATTGCCATCTTCATCTCGTCTTTTCTGCAATTCACAGATTCGGTTTACTTTAAAGCAAGTCGTTTCAGTCCAGATGTGACTGACATCCTCTATGAAGGAGATGCCGTGGCTTCTGTAGGAGAGATTGAATTCAACAAGGTTAATTATCTATGTCGGGTCGCTCATGCCATATATAGAGAGAAGGTGCCGCTTTGGGATCCTGATTCTGGGAAGCTTGCTGATTTCACTACACATTTTTCCTTCACCGTTGATACACAAAACCGTTCTTCTTATGGCCATGGAATTGCTTTCTTTCTTGCTCCTGTTGGTTTCCAAATCCCACCCAATTCAGTGGGTGGTTTTCTAGGCCTGTTTAATACCACAACCAGTGATTCCTCTCAAAACCATATTGTTGCTGTAGAATTCGACTCCTTTTCCAACCCCGAATGGGATCCTCAGTATGAGCATGTGGGGATCAACACTAATTCTATTTCTTCAGTGGTAACAGCTCCTTGGAATGTCACCTTGCACAGTGGAGAGGCTGCTGATGCATGGATTACATACAATTCTAGGACAAAAAACTTGACTGTCTTCTGGAGCTATGGGACAGGTCCAAATTCCAGCCTTTCATATCATATAGACCTCAGAGAGGTTCTTCCTCAATGGGTCAATATTGGATTCTCAGCTGCCACAGGTACAAATGTTGAGCGCCACACACTTGAGTCTTGGGAATTCAGATCCAGCCTGGATATTGAAGAATCACATGGAGGAAAAGCTCGAAAAATTGGGTTAATAGCTGGTCTATCTGCAACAGGGGTGGTTCTGGTTTCGATTGGGTTGTTGTTGTTGTTTATAATACGGAAGAGGAAACGGAGACAAACGATCACAAGCAAACCTCCCTCTCCAGAGGCAACAAGCTTGACATCTTTCAGTGATGCTCTTGAGAGGGGTGCAGGACCAAGAGGGTTCTCTTACAAAGACCTTGACTTGGCTACTAATCATTTCTCGGATGAGAGGAAGTTGGGTGAAGGAGGATTCGGGGAGGTCTACAAAGGGTACCTAATTGATCTTGATATTCCAGTTGCTGTGAAGAAGATCTCGAGAGGGTCTAAGCAGGGTAAAAAGGAGTATGTAACTGAGGTGAAGGTTATAAGCCAGTTAAGACATCGAAATTTGGTTCAACTCATTGGTTGGTGCCACGATCAAGGCAAGTTCTTGCTTGTCTATGAGTTCATGCCAAATGGAAGCTTAGATTCTCACCTGTTTGGCAGAAGAAATCCTCTTAGTTGGACTCTCAGATACAAAATAGCCCTCGGTTTAGCATCTGCTATAGTCTATCTTCACGAAGAGTGGGAACAATGCGTGATACACAGAGACATCAAATCCAGCAACATAATGCTCGACTCAAGTTTCAACGTCAAGCTTGGCGATTTCGGCCTGGCAAGACTCATGGACCACGACTTAGGTCCCCAAACCACAGTTCTGGCCGGAACATTAGGCTATCTAGCACCAGAATACATAAGCACTGGCAGAGCTAGCAAAGAGTCGGATGTGTACAGCTTCGGGGTGGTGGCCCTGGAAATCGCCACCGGGAAAAAGTCAAACGATGCCTCAACTTCTATGTCCTACACGACGGGGCTAGTGCAGTGGGTTTGGGATCTTTATGGGAAAGGAGAGCTTCTTTCCGCCATGGATCCAAAATTGAGCGGAGATTTGGAAGAGAAACAAGTGGAGTGTGTGATGGTTGTCGGGTTATGGTGTGCTCACCCTGACAACAACGTAAGGCCATCCATAAAGCAAGCAATTCATGTCCTGAATTTCGAGGCCGCATTGCCTAGTCTGCCAGTGAAGATGCCTGTTCCTGTGTATCATGCCCCTCCCCTTCCCCCTGCTGCTTCTAGTGCTAGTCCTTCGGTTAACTCTGCGGACCCCTTGATTAGTTACTCTAGCATTGAAATAGGTCGTTGATGTTTGATTATGTATGACTCTATAGTCAGAATAAAGATTTTAAGATACAAAAATAAAAAATCAAGGCAATTGATCTTAAGAGTGGCGATGAGGTGAGTAGGCAATACAGTGAGGAAGTCGATGAAGAGAGGAGGCAACGAAATGAGGAAGCGATGGAATGAGGATTGATAAGGTTAAATTAATAGAATGATATATTGATACTAAATTTCAATTAGGTGATGAGTTTTGTAATTATAGGGATAATCAAATGTGTTTTAAAATGTTGTCAACCAAACAATGTATATGACTTTCATTCCATTCTTTGTGTTTAACCCATTAACCAAACACACCCTTAATTAGTGTATTCATAGCCATTAGAACTAAAAGAGTGTATTTGGTTAATGGTTTAAATACAGAATGAGAATCAAAATCATACTTAGTGTTTAGTTGACAACTTTTTAAAACAGAACTATAAGATTGATTACCCCTTCAATTAAAAATCTCATTCCCTAATTAAAAAGGAGTATCATTCCATTTTATTGGTAATCTCATTTTTAAGTTTGGATTATTAATACTTTTAGATTTTTGTGTGTGTTCATATTGATGCTTTGGATGTCATTATGTTAGGATTAATTGTTCTAATTTATAATTTTTGTACTTTTAAAACTTTTATGACCCTATAGGGTCATACACAATCAAACATCAATATTGCATGGTTATTCCATTCCACCCTACTAGCCAGCATGCAAAATACTTTCACCAAAACTCATTACCATTACCTTGTATTTAATTCTCATTCCTATTCCAATTCCGATTCTGATTCCGATTTCTATGTACGAACCAAACACACCATAAATATTCTTGTTTTCTAATACTTAAACATTCATATATTATTCATGTGAAAGCTAGAAATTTTATGTTTGCAGCATATCTAAATTAAGTGGGTTGTGCAACATCGATGTTGCATTTATTTTATCTTTTTTTTTTCTTTCTTTATTTATGTTGTCAATCATTAGAATATATGAAGGATATATTAAGAATGGATCGTGATCGAAGAAAACTGACCCTGAAGAAGATGGAGAGCCGTCGACTCAAGGTGGACAAAGTCGGCCTCCGGGGTCGGCCACCTAGGCTGAGCTCCGGGCTCTGCTGAGTGTCAGGTCTTTGCGTGGACGCGGCCTTGGCGGTTTTTGTTGCGGTCCAAGGAGGTTGTAACTCCCCACCATCTTTTCCGGGACGGTTGGGGCGATTTAAAGTATAAAAACACTCCCTTGTGTCCCGCTGAGATATGATTCATCCATTATCCATAACTTTGTCTTGTTATTGCATAAATCTTCCTTTGTAATAACATTACACTTGATTAATACAATATTGTCTCCGTGACTTATCAATTTTAATTTGTCCCTTTATTACATTAGATTTACCATTGTCTTTACATCATTATTCTATACTTTATCGGTTTAATTGATTCGGATCCCGAGTCAATATAATCCGTCATTGTGATTTCTAGATAAAACAAAATTGGTGCCCTAAAATGCTTTATGTTCGATACATTAAGAAGATGCTTAAATATTTGACATTTTGTCCTGATATTGCAATCTTGAAGCAATGAAATTCGTTAAGGCTAAGATGCTTGCCATTCTTATGTGATCTGAAGTGATTGCGTAGAGTGGTTTGGTATTCTTTCGCAACTCCACACTTCCAATCAAGATAAGGTGACCTTGACAACATTCGATATGATAGAAGGAAGAAGCTAAGACCACAAGACCAATGAAGTCTCTGTGTCTTCCTGGGATGTCCTGAACAGACCAAAGCGCCCTCCACCCCCGCCCCCCCGCTATACTATTACAAGACCCTCTTACGCCACCCATGTGTACGACATCCCAGGCATGTCAACTACCACCAACCACGTGCCCCAGCCAACCCACCGGCCTGGTCCGCACGCTAGCCGCCACATTGTACGCCAGCCGCTATTCCCACGTCGCCATGCACGCATGCTAGTCGCCACCCCCGGCCTCCATGCACACTAGTCGCCAACCTCGGTCGCCACGCACTGCACGCACGCCATCAATCGCCATGCCTGCCGCCATCCATCGTCATGCCTGCCGCCATCAATCGCCATGTAACTATCCACCATGTGGCTACCCGCCAAGCGACCACCCGCCAGGCAACCACGCTACCACCCGCCATCCGCTATGCGACCACCATTCACCATCCGTGCCATCCCTCTGCTTGCATCAACACGTCTTCATCACCATAACCAGTATTCCTTCAATACTGCGCCCTCCTTTCGGCAGGGAGTCGTTGCCACACCACGGGGCACCCCAGGCCCGCTAGGGGCTCCATGGCCGGTGGGATAGGCTGCCGGCTAATCGCCGGTGGCCGGTTGTGGGGGTTAGCGAATCTGCCCGCCGGCCAAGTAGGAAACAAATATTAGATGTAACACTTTGGTAAACAAGAGATGATGTGGCCTGGTGGTCTGGTACACAGGTTTGGTTATAGTAGCTGCATCCTCCTATATATTTTACTCCTCCGAGGCTCCAAGCCATGCCTTTTGAGTCACCATGTCTTTCTAGCCCTTTGGGCCAACCTCTTTCCTTCACCACTTGGGTAAGACTTTTCCAATAAAATGGACCCCGCGTTCCCATGGCCACATCAAGTACATTGTCTGCGAAATAATTAAAACAATTATTTTTTTTAAATTGTTAAAATAAAATTTTTAAAATTATTTTTAAATAAAGAAACCGACACGTCAGCATATTAACCGGTTAACATACAAGGCATTTTAAGTTAAATTGCATGAATTTGAGTTGTTCCGAGACCGAATTATAATTTTTTTGAGTTCAATGGTTTAATTGTAATTTGGCGTGTAGTTGGATGATCTATTTGACCCTTATTCCAAATTATTATAAACTCTTTCCATCCCTATTCTATACTACATAACTTTTTACATGTGAGAGTACCTTACAAGAGAAAAGTAGTTCACTTTGCATGCATGGAAATGAGAGTACCTTACAAGAGAAAAGTAGTTCACTTTGCATGCATGGAAATAAAAATTGAAAAAGTTTCACAAGTTGGCAAGTTGCATGCATATGATTACCACAAAACTACACCAGACAGAACCCCTTATATTATATATACCACTTTTGCAGCTTAAAAAGTTGAATGAATCCAAAGTAGCATATTCACTTGAAGCAGTGAACGTAAAATAATTAGAAGAGAAAACGATGTGGCCTGGCAGCATGCACTAAAACATTATATTATTATATTCCAAGTCATGAGGTTCACTAATCGTGGTTTTGGAATAATCCATTTTTTGTCCCGTTAAGTTGCTTCTTTTTTTGAACTCAAACCTCTGCTTTATCAAAGTTATTCCTCAAGTATAGTCCAGTCATAGAAACTGCAAATCTCGTTTATTCTGGAAGCTAAGACACCAATTCTCGGACCGACCTATATATCCTATAAACGTTTATTTTGTTCATTGGTAGGCGCCCAACATCACATTTTAATGATAAGATGCTGAACTTGACGTTTCAAGTTAAACCCAACAGTCAATTTCATTAAAAGCTAGTCACGTAATTATGTAAATTGTACTTCATCTAAGAGCATTATTCATATTATTTCATAACCTTACCAAATGACTTTTTCAACGTTTTAACTTGTTCAAAACACTGAAAATGATGGGGATCTGCCAATTACCAAACAAGCCCATTACATTATTCAATCTTCACATCATTGTCCATAGAAAGAGGCTAGGAGGTGGTGTAAATTTTGTAAGGAAAAAGAGTTAGAGAAGAACAAGAAGATTAGTGGACAACTTTTTCTTTTTAATGTAAGGCAAAAGACTTGATGGTTGAGGCATATATATATATATATATGTGGGATAGATGGATGATTCAGTGGAAGTGAATCTTGAAGGCAAAGGACTTGTTCAGCCATGTCTTCCAGCAGCTGCTACTTTTGCTTTTCTGGTCAATCATCCCCTCTGCCTTCCACCTGCTTTCTCTCAGCTCTGCAGGCTGTTTCTTGCACAGAATGAAGTTCCTTACGCCGCATAAACCTATCAGTTCTGAGGCACCCAGTGCTGATCAAACCAAACCAATTACATATATATATTAGCTAGAAACCCAAATTAAAGAAACAAAGAAAGAAAGAAAAGCATATGTGAATGAAGAACTGGATTCGATAAAGGGCCAAGTCCAGCACCAGATAACTATAGCGAATTATTGGACAGAGGTCTAAAGGGACAGACAGACGTTATGGGAATTGTTGAGCGAAGACTTATAAACGCTTGATCTTAACAGATACCGAGATACATACATACCTTCCAGTCCTAAACTTGTAGGGAGGAGAAGGAAATGAGTGGGATCAGAGCCGAGGAGAGGGAGGCGACCTTGGTGAGCATATTGCTTCAAGGCCATGTCAATAACCCCAGCAACCTTATCATCTTCATTCACAACAAACCTCAACGGCCCTGCACTTCCCGGCACATTCACAGTGATCAACAACCTAGTACTATTCCTCTTCACATCAATCTTGCTCTTTTGCTTCTCAGAAAACCCTTTCTTCACCCTAACCTCCATAAATCAAAGTAAACAGAGGGTAAAAGCAAGCTAATAATTAAGGGTCGAGGCCGATGCAGCGGTAGAACCAGGCTGCCTTGGCACAACAGAATGATGAAGGCAGCAGGTGCAGGGAGAGAAGAAGAGAAGTAGAAGAGAAGAGCATCAAAGCTGAGATGATTTGGACCATCCAATTCAAGCTAAGCTAAGCTCATTAATTGTTTCTTTACTGTGATTCTGTCCGCATAATTAGGAAGAAGCGTAGAGCAGGGGAAGTGATTAGCATAGGGAAAAAGGAAGCTAATTAGGGAGCTGATCTGAGACAGTACGTTACTTAGACTTTTGGGGAGAGAAATTAAAGGTGAGGAGAGTAGCTCTTGAAATGAAATGATCTGATCAGGCTTTAGATTCGCCTGTATATGTATGTTTTGCTTGCATTGGCAACCCTAAGCTAACTCGTATATATACTCCGTACTATATAGCGTAATTGTAAGTACATACTATAATACTACATGCAGGGTGCAAAAATGGGTCTAGGCCTCCGCCTAAACGCTAAGCGTCCCTACACCGTGGCTATTTTTCTCCTAGGCGTCCGCCTAGCCCCTAACTCGACGAGTCGACCGCATAGCGCCTAACTCAGCCGAGTTAACTCATTCATTTTGGTCGAGTTAACTCGATCGGTTCGACCTTACTAAATTTTTTTCATTATATATATACTATGACACATATACACCCACACACGTGCACTGTTTTTTCTTTTTTAGTAAGCGGCATAGGCACCCACCCGCCTAGGCACCACTTAAGCCGTCTAGGCGCTAGGCGCCGCCTAAGCCGTCTAGGCGCTAGGCGCTACTCTACCGCCCGACTAGCGTCTAGCGCATACTGCAACCATGACTATATGTACTCTCATTTTCTACTCTAACTTTTATTCTCACACACAAAATCTTGATATAGACATTTGTATTGGGACCCACCTGAAAAAAATAATTTATCCACCCGCTACATCAGCGAGTAAGATTTGAGAGTCCATGTAGTAGAACTTTTCAAATATATCTTCATTCAACTCATGAAGTGTGGATGAGATGATGTGAATTTCTTTCAAGTTAGGATATCCTTATCCATGCAATACTCTCTTACTTCAAAATTGGATTACACTCCCACATCATCAAATTTGTGAATTTTTTACTGTTTTCTCTATATCCCTGCAATACTCTCTCACTTTTAAAAGTGGTTCATTTTCATTTTATATTATAAATATAATAATAAAATAATAATAAAATAAATAATAAAAAAAGGAAATAAAAATCAATTGCAAAATTACTATTATAGCAAGTTTGCAAACCACATAAGTTAACAAAATAAAACAAATAAAACAAAATAAAAGAAAAATCTACATTACCTTCCACATCATCTTAAATGAGGTTGAGTTGATGGGATGAGGATATCCTTATAACTTTGAAAACTATAGCTATCTCAAAACCATGAGGAAATGACTTGCTACCAAATGTCCAAAATTTTACGCGGCGGCATGAACATAATAGTTTCGATGTGGGGCAAACCAAAATATATCTTCATTAAAAGTGTATCCAATCTAAATTTTTTAAAATTTGGAAGTATTTATTTCATACTTGAGCCTTTTAAGTCTGGTGATATTCCATTCATGGGTTTTTTTTTTTTAATATATATATATATATATATATATATATATATATATATATATATAAAAGATAACTGCTATGTTAGCCCGCAATAGTTAGATGAACAAGTCATTTTTAGTAGAAATACATAATTCTAGATAATTCAGGTACCTTTTGTTAGAGAATATGTATGTGTGGTTATACTTAGTCTTGCTTATAGTTAGCTTATAGTGTAGGAGAAGATTATGTATCCTAGTTACATTAGGATTATACTTTAGTTGTAACAGTTTCAGATAATCAATCACACAGTTATCTCTCATCTGGTATCAGCTTAGCGTTAGGTTTTCCAACTCTATCTCCCCACCACATCGATGTCCACTCATTCTTCCGAACGTACGGTGACTGCCTCCACCGTGCAACCACCGGCCACCACCAACTCCCTCTCCACCGCCCACCATTTCATTTCCCTAAAACTCACCACCCGAAACTACTTATTTTGGCACACCCAAATCATCCCTTTCATCTGCGGGCAAGGCCTTCTCGGCTATGTGGACGGTGATCTCCCATGCCCACCGACCGCCATCAACACGGCCTCCTCCGGTGAAAGAGCCTCCGGTGGCTCGGCATCCACCCCAACCGCAAATCCGGCGTACACAGCGTGCGTTCAACATGATCAGTCAATCCTTTCTCTCCTCTTCTCGTCTCTCTTCGACGAGGTGATGTACATGGGGTGATGTACATGGAGGTTGGTCGTGGCACCTCCAGAGACGTTTGGCTCTCGCCTCTCGGATCGTCTACGCGTGCCCGGTGCCTGAACCTACTCGGTCAATTCCAGTCTCTCCGGCAGGGTGATAACACAGCGGCTGAGTACTTGGGGAGTGCGTAACTCTTCGTCGAACAGCTTGCGCTAGCCGGACGGTCGATGTCCCTCGATGAACAGAAGCTTTATGTGTTCAGAGGGCCGCGTCCGGAGTTTCGCGCGATGGCGGCGTCACTCGCCATCTCAGGTACGCCAATTCCCATCCTGCAACTCTCTGTTTTTCTCCAGGCGCAAGAGTTCATCTACGCCGATGATTTTTCTGTGCTGGGGGATGCGGCTGGCGGCGGCTCTCCCGTGGCGATGTTCACCGGCCGTGGTCAGACTCGCCGGCCGAATGGCGATGGAGGCTCTGGACGCCGAGGAGGACAGAATCGCGGCCGGCAAGGGCGAGGTGGTCGCGGTGCCCAGGGACGTGGTCATGGCGGCGGAATCCCTCGCTGCCAAATCTGCAGGTCGCACGGCCATACTGCCGTGTATTGCTTCAAGCACTACACCACGCAACCACCAGCCCAAGCCAATGTCGCCGTCGCCGGAGATGAGGGAGCAGCGGCCACAGTTGATGCATGGTATCCGGATACCGGCACCACCTCTCACGCGACACCGGACGCGCCAATGATTGGGCAGTCCGAGGATTACACTGGTGGCAACGTCTTGCGGGTTGGCAATGGTACATGTTTGGGTATTTCCCGTGTCGATCATGCATCTATCTCGTCTGTTCCAAAAAATATACGTTTGTCAAATATATTGCATGCTCCTCAATTGTCCGTACCTCTTTTGTCTGTACATCGCTTTACTAATGATAACGATGTATTCTTTGAATTTCATGACAATTATTTTGTTGTTAAGGACTCAATTATCAAGGCGGTTCTGCTTTAAGGGTCTTAGCACGGGTGGCCTATACAAATTGTCAGTTCCACGGTCTCATGTTGCGTTCCTAAGTGCTCGAGCATCTCCCATTGTATGGCACCGCAGATTGGGTCATCCGCATGCCAAAGTCCTCCAGCGTATCTTGCCATAGTGTCCAGTTACTGCAAAAGACTCTAGTTCGTCGGGGTTGTGTTCGACTTGCCAGCTTGGCAAATCCTCCCGTTTCCCCTTAGATAGAGTTTCATATTCTTCTAATAATGTATTGGACATTGTGTACACGGACATTTGGGGTCCGTCCCCGGTTATTTCTATGAACGGTTTTAAGTATTTTGTTTTATTCGTGGATGATTATTCACGATTTTGCTGGTTTTATCCTTTACGGTTAAAATCAGACATTTATAAGGTTTTTGATTTGTTTCGTGTCATGGTAGAACGGTTGTTTTCACGTTCTTTCAAGTCCATACAATCTGACTTAGGGGGTGAATACCGCCGCTTACATAAAACCTTTGAGTCATTGGGTATTGTGCACAAACAGTCATGTGCCTATACGCACGAGCAAAATGGGCGGGTAGAGCGTCGCAATAGACATATTGTCGAAATCGGGTTAGCTCCACTGGCTGAAGGGTCGGTTCCCTTAAAACACTGGGATTCGGCTTTTGAAACAGCCACTTACCTTATAAACCGCCTCCCCTCTTCCGTGTTACAGTTTGTACAAATCCCCCCCCCCCCCCCCCCCCCCCCCCCCCCTCTTCCATTGTTGTTCCATTCCTCCATATTCTCGATTCATATTCCAACTCATCTCATAACCTTGAGAAGGAGGGTAAAACGGTGGCATGGTTCCTTGGAATGCATATCTATCCATAAACTAAATCACACTCAAAACAATGAACTTGTTATGGGTTCGGAAATTAACGTCGCTCGACGCGTCGAGACCTGCTGTCTCGACCGGAATGTGTACTGGAAATTTTCGACGTGTCGAGCCTTTGGCTCGACGCGTCGAATCCTCTGGGTCCCGAACTTATCTAAAATTGCTCCGAACTCATCCTTGAACTCCCCTTGCTCATATCTTTGACCTAAAATGGTTCAAAAACACTAACAAACACCGTAAAACATTCAAAACAAGTGTGAACCATAATTAAATGATAATAGCAAGGAAAATATGTATTAAATAAGCAAAATTAAAGAACTTAAATACTGAGATGATTCAAAATAACTATAAAAACAAGCACAGATGTGATAACATCACCCCCTCACACTTAAGCTTTTGCTTGTCCTCAAGCAAAACTAAGGAATAAAATCACAAATCAAAACATACAAATTACTCATGCTCTCTCTTGCACAACCTTTCAAACCACCAACCCACTTGCTACAAAACAACAAGCTTCAAGAATCAAATTAGTTTGGCACATAAGAGACCCATTTCCAAGCCAATAACCAAGCACCAAGAATTTAAAGTATGTGAGGATCAAGTGTGGACAAATACTCAGTTGAGATTATGCAGGACACGGTTCATGAATGAGATCCCATAGGCTTGCCTTTCATACTCCCCTAGATCAAATCTAAGAATGCATGCTAAGATCAAATATGACTTTATTAAGCTTGTAATGGGGCTACGGGTGATGGCTAACAAAGAAGTGGTATGGAAAAATTAATCAAAAAGAGAGAATGTCACAATTTATCTAAACTTTTCAAAATTTGGAAGAGATGAGATAATCATAATTCCAAGGAGCAAATTTCTTTTAAGAACTCAGCATCTCTTTGGTAAAGTGGGGATCCAAACTCAAAAACTTTCAATCTTTTTTTTTTCTCATTCTTTTCTTTGTCTTTGGACTTCTTTTGGATATAGCAAGATAATTTTAATCCAAACTTTCATGACCTCCACACTTGAACATTTGTAACACTAGCTGCTTTTTTTTTTCGTAGCACAACTCCATAAAACTCTTCTTACGGAAAAGATAAAGATAAAAGTTTCATTCTCTCAAGGGTGGAAGGGAAATATTTGGCCACGGGCTAAGGGTTATAATAATGGGGTAAATCAAAGAAAAACAATCACAAAGAGGGGATAAGTGCTTAGCACTTATTTGAACAAACAAAAGGCACAATGGGGATACGAAGGATAAAATATATATAGGGACAGGTTTAAAGGGTATGGCTAAACAAAAATGGCCTAAATCACTTCAAAACATGCAAAATTCAGACATCACTTAGGGAGTAATGAGGCAAGTTCTAGCAAAACACCCATGACCGGAATCTCACATAAGCCTTCACTAGCAATGCAAAACACAAGATCAAGAACTAATCCAATTATTAAGTGGTTAACAAAGCTATTGGCAAGAGAATAGATCAAATATGTGTTACACCTCAAATCATCCATCACAAATTGAGATGCAGCAAGCACCACTAAAACAAACCACAAACCAACAAGAGAGAATAATTGTAACTGCATGCTAAGACAAGTAGCTTATTCACCAAAAATAGCATATGAGTCATCCAAGCAAAAGCAAAAATTTTAAAAATTTAGAAATATCCCCAAATTAATGATTCCTCCCCCTCACACTTAAAACTTTGCATCATCCCTGATGTAAAATAAAAGAAAAGTAGAACAAGAGAAAAGAGAAAAGCAAGAAGCAATAAAATAATCACGAACTAGAAAATAATAAAACTAAATAAGACGAAACTAGAAAGCAATAAACAAATAGGGAAAGTAATAAAAGATAACATGGGGTGCCTCCCATGAAGCGCTAAATTTAACGTCGTTAGCTCGACGTTACCTCTCTAGCCATCAAGTGATTGGAGAAGAAAAATCCCCTTCTTTCCATCAACTTTCTCTTCCAAGTATTTCTTCAAGTGGTGTCCATTTATAAACTCTCTTAAGCTCGAACCCTTCACGTCATCATGTAAGGAACCACATTTGCCCGAATCAAGAATTATGCCTCCATTCTCTTTTCCTTCTTTTTCAACACTCTTTTGTTCAACAAGTAATGAGAGTCTCGGATCATTCACATGAACCAGCAAGTATTGGGAATCATTGGATATATAGATAGGCAAATGTGTGCCATTATCCTTAAGAACTCCAATGCCTCCCAAATTCAAAATTTCTCTGAAGTTCTCTCCAAGGGAAGTGTTCTCCATTGGTGAGACATCCTCATTCAAATCATGTGCTCTATTGAGAACTTCCTCATCTAATGGGCAACTCTCTATATGTTCCTTGCCATCATTACCTTGCAACTCTACATTTTCCTCCCAGCTTGGTGTCTCCATCTCAATGCATTTATCAAATATTTCTTCATCTTCCTTTCTAAGATCCTCATCATCCTTTTTAGTTCTCTCAACTTCATGACCTTCATTTGGCAAGAGCAACTCTTCTAGAACCTCTCCATTAAATGAATCTTGAAGTGGCTCTTGAATTGTCAAATCTTGCTGTCGAGCCATCATGCGATCGAGTCGAGCATTCATGCGATCAAGTTGAGCATTCATGTGATCTTGTAACTCCAGATATTTCGAGCACAATTGCATTATCTTGGTCTCTTGGGACTTCATCTCAATTATTTGGTCAAGTGATTGACAATCTTGTTGAAACTCTTGGTAAGGCAACTCTTGAGCTCGCCCCTGATACTTGTAATTGGGATCCATGATAAAGCAATTTTCCGCCTCATGAGATCCACCACATATCATGCACCGTGAGGGTTGTGGAGTAGGTGGTGTGCATCTTTGATAAGTAGCTTGACTCATGTTAGCACAAAATCCTTGAGTAGATTGTTGAGGGATATGGTTGGTGGGGTTGAGCATGTAACAATTTTCCACAAAGTGATTCCCACCACAAAATGAGCACCATTGGGGTTGTGATGTTTGATATGAACTTTCTTGATAATATCCTTGACTAGAGTTGGCAAAATTTGAGAAAGGGAATTGTTGTTCCATTCCTCCATATTCTCGATTCATATTCCAACTCATCTCATAACCTTGAGAAGGAGGGTAAAACGGTGGCATGGTTCCTTGGAATGCATATCTATCCATAAACTAAATCACACTCAAAACAATGAACTTGTTATGGGTTAGCAAACTAAAATAAAATAAAAAAAAAAAAAAATGGACTAGTCTCCTAGAATAAAGATTTCACTAATGTTAATACTAGAAACACCACTTCCCCGGCAACGGCGCCAATTTGATGCGTAGTATATTTGCAAACAAATAATTCTCGGAGTACGAGTTATCGATCCACAAGGAAGTGGTTGTATCAAGCACTAGTTACTAACTTATTCATTAGAGCTAATCCTAACAATTACTTAGATGATTGATTGGCATAAAATAAATAAAATAAAACAGAGGTTCAGGATTTTGAAAACAATTAGAGAGAAGTTGAGATTCATGGGATTCAAGTATTTAATCACCTAGTGCCAATTATCGTTTGCAATATTTAGTTTGGAATTAAGATTTGTGTGGGAATGCAAAGTGGAATCGAATTACTCCCGTAATCTCTATTCCTAGTGAATTTCCACTCCCATGGCTTAAACACCCAATAAGATCAAAGATCAGCATTCAATTATTCCTAATTACTACCATCTCCCGATTGGCAACAATCTAGAATAAACTTCCCCTAATAAGTTCCCCTTTCCCAAGGACCAACCATTAGGTGCAATCGTGTGTGCCCTAATTTATGCCCCAACTCCCATTGGTGACACAAACATGGCTATGAAGCTAGTAACTATGGCCATTAATTACAAGCATCAAACAATATTATCACGATTGCAACACAAGTATTAAACCCGCCAAATAATAATATATTAAAGAAACTGAGAGCTCAGGCACATAGGTTCATAAACACTTTTACCCAAGAATCTCTAAAGAATTTAGCCAAGCATGACTAAATTATACATAGCAAATATAAATAAAGAATTACAAATCATCAAAAGAGTACAAGAATTAACCAGATGATTTTCCCAAATCTCCCTAGTCTTCTTCTTGCTTTCCAAGACAACTTGTGGCTCTTGATTTCTCTCCTTCTTGTCTCCAAGAATCTCTGAATTCTCCCGGTCTCCGTCCTCACATTAGGGTTGAGGAAGGAGGGATTTTATAGTGGGTACAAAGTTGAGATGAAATAGGAATCTTGTACAAAATTGGACTCAAATTATAATTCCTAAAATAAAGAAATTGCCGTAATAAAATTGAAGTTGGAATTTGGACTTTGGAATTGAAGTTGATTGGGATTTGGAATTGAAGTGTGAATTTGGAATTTTGAATCTGGAACGCTGCTGCAATTTCGGAAATTAACGTCGCTCGACGCGTCGAGACCTGCTGTCTCGACCGGAATGTGTACTGGAAATTTTCGACGTGTCGAGCCTTTGGCTCGACGCGTCGAATCCTCTGGGTCCCGAACTTATCTAAAATTGCTCCGAACTCATCCTTGAACTCCCCTTGCTCATATCTTTGACCTAAAATGGTTCAAAAACACTAACAAACACCGTAAAACATTCAAAACAAGTGTGAACCATAATTAAATGATAATAGCAAGGAAAATATGTATTAAATAAGCAAAATTAAAGAACTTAAATACTGAGATGATTCAAAATAACTATAAAAACAAGCACAGATGTGATAACATCATTCAGCTTTACAGGGAAGCCCACAACAAATCCAGCATGTTGCACCGTGGGATCTGGACCGATCATACCACGTGTTGACCTCCCAGTAATACCAGCCGTCACCCCCGTGGCGCATGATAGTCCGCCTTTTGCTATGGAAGGCCCCCCCTGTGGCACAAGATGGTGCACCTACGACTGTGACAACCAGGACCTGTGCTCTGCGCACTCAACCACAAGATCGTGGGCACGTTATGCGGCTACGCCATATGACACGGGGTACGGGTGAGCAGTTTCACGCTCTCTCCGCGACTGTGGATCCAACCTGCTATTCCTAGGCCGGGGGCCATCCATAGTGGCGTGACGTCACTGATCAGGAGTTCAACGCACTACTACACAATAATACCTGGCGGCTCATACCGGCGGAACCATGGATGAACATAATTGGGTGCAAGTGGGTGTATTGTACAAAACGCAAGGCGGACGGGTCCATAGAGCGCTATAAGGTGCGTCTGGTGGCTAAGGGTTTCAATCAAGTCGCAGGAGAATACTTCTCTGACACGTTTAGCCCTGTAGTCAAACCGACCACAATTCGGATTTTATTTTCATTGGCTGTTTCTCGCAACTGGACTCTTCGCCAATTAGACGTCCACAATGCCTTCCTGAACGGGCACTTGGCTGAAACCATATATATGCGGCAGCCACCTGGTTATGAGGAACCACAACACCCTGATCATGTTTTCCATTTACAGTGTTCGCTGTATAGCCTGAAACAAGCGCCCCGGGCCTGGTTCAAACGGCTACATGACTTTTTTAATATCTACAAGGTTTTTGGCGCCAAAGACCGACGTATCTCTTTTTCATTACTCGGTTGGTGTATCACGGGTGTTCCTCCTAGTGTATGTCGATGACATCATTATGATGGGTGATGACTCAGCCTTGATAGACACACTTCTTCGTCGTCTCAACTCCACATTTAAGATACGTGACTTAGGCGCCCCGAGTTTTTTCCTGGGCATTGAAACTATTCCAATAGATGGGGGACTGCTTCTTTCCCAGCGTCATTACATGGGTGACCTGCTAAAAAGAGCGGGTATAACTGATTGCAAGCCGCTGGCCACACCAGTAACTGTGACTCAGGCCGTGACGCCGTCGACTGAGGCGTTTGATAATCCCACGTAGTATTTTCGGCTAGTTGGGGCTCTACAGTATTTAACCATCACTAGGCCATATCTTTCTTTTTCCATGTATCGACTGTGTCAGTTCATGCATGCTCCAACAAATGATAACTTGGCTCTCCTTAAACGTGTATTACGGTATGTCAAGGGCACAATTGATCATGGTCTACGTCTCGCAGCTTCGTCGTCTGATGACATTCATGCCTACTCTGATTCAGACTAGGCTGGGTGTCCAGTAGAATGAAAGTCCACTAGCGGGTATGCAGTCTTCCTTGGGTCAAATTTAATTTCCTAGGTATCCCTTAAGCAGTGAACCGTGGCCTGCTCCTCGACCGAGGCCGAATACAAAGGACTAGCAGATGTATTCGCCGAAGTCACGTGGGTTGTCTCACTACTCCGTGAACTTGGGCTACACTCCGGCAACCCAGCTACTCTTTGGTTTGATAATCTTGGGGCCATGTATACCTGTGCACCAATCCGGTCTTCCATGCACGGACTAAACATGTGGAAATCGACTACCACTTCATGCAAGACAAGGTTGCTTCTGGGGATTTCTTGGTTAATTTTGTGTCGACGAAGGATTAACTCGCAGATATTTTCACGAAGCCGCTGCCAGCACCTCGCTTTGGGTCACTTCGGGACAAGCTCAATGTTGTCTCCCTCCAACCTTGTGCTTGAGGGGGTGTGTTAGAGAATATGTATATGTGGCTATACTTAGTCTTGCTTATAGTTAGCCTATAGTGTAGGAGAAGGTTATGTATCCTAGTTACATTAAGATTATACTTTGGTTGTAACAGTTTTAGATAATCAATCACACAATTATCTCTCATCCCTATGAATTAGATGACCTAATTACATTTTTAGGTGTAATGGCTAATTTGAACCGTTTTTCTTTGTATTTTTAAAGAATAATGGCATTCGAAAGGTTATTAATGTTTATACTGTCATTACTAAAGTAGTGGTAACAATGGTTCCGGTAAGATTTGATTTTGGAATCTAATAGTGGGTGAAGGAATCAAAGTTTCATTGCATATTTGCATGTCATGAAGTTTTGGATCATGAATTATTATTTTTATTTAATTTGTTATGTGTTACATAATTCATAGTTGATATTTAAAATGGACCTTTGATTATGTTATAATTTTCAATTTTATCGTCAACAATTAATCTTAGAAGATAAGAAGAATATCTTCGATTAATTATGCCATAAATTAGGTCAATTTTACAATATGATACAATTAGTAGACGATGATCAAACTAGAAATTAATTATGACCTAATTAATAGACATTTTAGATATTAACTCCATAAAACACAAGTTCATAACTTTATTATTAATCTTTTTATAATTCTAAAAATAAATAATTTTAATATTGACATTTTTTTTAGTGTGTTAGCCAATTTTGTGGTATCCACTAATAACTTTTTAATGGGTCATACAACACATGGACCTAATCTATTTATCAGTGAAGCATAAATCTATGAGTCAAATTTTGTATTCATGTAATTTTGATACTAAATTAAAGAATGTGTTCCATTTTAACTATAAGGTTAAACTGGTAGATGGATAGCAAGCATGTTTATATGTTTTATTATAGAGTTAATTCCAGCAGAAGTTTCTTGTCTTTGGTTGCAATTTCAAATTTAGTCTCACACTATCATTTTTGTCATTTAACACCCCTGACTATCATATTTTGAATACTTTTGGTTCTTCCGACGACTTTTCCAGTGAAATCTTATTTTAGCCAAGGGTATTTTCGTCTTATCATTTTTTTAAATTTTCCCAATTAATGCGTTAGTTCCATCGGAGATCTCTTATCTTTCATGGCATTTCTAAATTTAGTCCCAGATAATCCTTTTTTGCTATTTAGCACTGCAAACTATCATATTTTGGACACTTTAGATGACTTTTTTTCCAGTTAAACCTTATTTTAGGAAATCATATTTTTCGATGACAACGAAGATGGTTTTTTTTTTTTTTTTTTTTTTTTTTTTTTTTTTGCCTCTACAGCTATAATAGATGATTCACAAAATCATGGACTAAAACAATAACGGTCAAACTGAAGCCGACTGGGTGGTGACATCCTGATCTTTCTAACTGCGTTGCAAAATGATTCCCCCGCACCCAAACGTCCTAACGTACTCGGTATCGCCATTGGTGAAGGAAGATTTGGATCTGGGTTGAAGGAGATGAATACATCAGAGCCGGGTGAAGGAGATGATGCAATCCACTCCTGAAGAGATAAAAGTCGAAAAAAATTGGCACAAAAATAGGAAAAATTTGAAGAAACGAAAATATCTTTGCATAAAATAGGGTTTCACCTGAAAAAGTTACCGGAAGGACCAAAAGTGTCCAAAATATGATAGTATGGGTTGTTAAATGGCAAAAATGATTGTCTGTGACAAAATTTGAAATTGTTACCAAAAGACAAAAGACCTCCGCTAGAATTAACTCATTGGAAAAAAAAAATAAAAATTAAAGAGACAAAAAATCCTTTCCTAAAATAGGGTTTCACCAGAAAAATCATCGGAAGGACCAAAAGTGTCTAAAATATGATAGTCTGGGGTGTTAAATGATAAAAATTATAATATGAAACTAAATTTGAAATTGTCACAAAAAACAATGGACATCTGTTGGGATTAACTCTTTATTATATTATGCTCAGTAAGAAGTAATCATACAAATTACTTATATATTGATAGTCAATTGTGTTGATAAAAGTAAACATATAAGTCAAAGTGGTGCAGCGGAAGCGTGCAGTGGTGGGCCCATAACCCATAGGTCCCAGGATGGAAACTTGGCTTTGAAAATAGTTATAAAGTTTTTGGAGGCGGTGGACGTTGCTTTGTTTGCTGTGAATAACTGGAACGCTGTTGTGGTCCTCGCTTGCTTGAGTATCAACAGTAACATGCCTGACTTCTCCTGGCTTTTTCATCTTTCTATATGATAATCAACCTTATTATTTCTCTTCATTTATTTGTATTTTGTTCTTGTCTTCTAATTGAATAATTCAAATAGTTATTTGTATTTTGTTCTTGTCTTCTAATTGAATAATTCAAATAGATATATAAAGAGTTTCTTACAGATTATTGCAGGATTAGCTAAAATGGTTTTTCGGGTGATAGAGAAAGCTAGAGAACTCTATTATCAATATTGGAATTATCAAATTTAGACCCCTAGAAGAAGAAATTTTGTTTCTCTAATTTCACGAAAGGAAGAATTCACTCTTCAGATTTATTGATTCGTAATCAGGATTAGTTTCGCTCATATGTTGGCCAAATCTGTTGATCATAACCTGGAGTCTAGATCTTGGATCTTTGATCCTCCGTTGTGTAACTTTTGGATTCTTTGATTACTTATATATTGATAGTGAATTGTGTTACTTATATATTGATAGTGAATTGTGTAACTTGATAAAAATAACTATACAAATCAGAGTGGTGTAGCGGAAGCGTGGTAGGCTCATAACCCACAGGTTTTAGGATCGAAACTTGGCTCTGATAAGAATTATATAATTTTTGGAGGCGGTGGACGTTGCTTTGTTTGCTGGGAGTAATTCTGTTGGTTTTGGTCTATTTGTTTTCAAGATTCCTAACATGCATGACTTCTCCTATTGGGGGGGGGGGGGGGGGGTGGTGTGTATTCAAGCTTGCCGCGATATCATCATTTCTCTCCCCGATGTCTGCATTAATTTTGTTCTTAGAGCTGAGAATAGTTTCGCTCATAAGTTGGCCAAATCTATTGGTCATAACCTGGAGTTTAGATCTTAATTGGATCTTCTATCCTCCGACTTGGATTTTTTGATTACTTATATATTGATAGTGAATTGTGTTACTTATATATTGATAGTGAATTGTGTTACTTGATAAAAGTAGTCATACAAATCAGAGTGGCGCAGCGGAAGCGTGGTGGGCCCATAATCCACAGGTCCCAGGATCGAAACCTGGCTCTAATAAGAGTTACACAATTTTTGGAGGCGGCATGCGGATCAAGGAAGCATTAACTAATAAGGGCGTGCAAGGAGGTATCGTCAAGGAAGCATTAACTAATAAGGGCGTAAGGGCGTGCAAGGTATCGTCAAGGAAGCATTAACTAATAAGGGCGTGCAAGGTATCGTCAAGGAAGCATTAACTAATAAGGGCGTGCAAGGTAAGGAAGCATTAACTAATAAGGGCATCGTCAAATAAGGGCGTGCAAGGTAAGGAAGCATTAACTAATAATAAGGGCATCGTCAAATAAGGGCGTGCAAGGTAAGGAATCATTAACTAATAAGGGTGTGCAAACTTCGGATAATTTTCGGTTAACCGACCGAACCGACAAATTTCGGTTAACCGTTTTCGAACCGAACTTTTTCGGTTCGGTTAATGGTTAAAGAAATTTTAAAACTTCGGTTAACGGTTAATTCGGTTCGAAAGGTCGGTTAACCGAATTAACCGAACGGTTAACCGAATTAACCGAACGGTTAACCGAAGTTTGTAATATATATATAAATAATAATATAAATATAAATACTAATTTGAAGTTATGGATGTTTGGAGTTTATAATTAATGTTTTTGTATATTTTGTTATGAATTTATTATAATATGTATTTTATTTTAATTGGATTTATTATTTTAGGTGTTATTTTTAGAATTTTAAATTTTAACTTTAAAAAGTTCGGTTAATCGGTTAACCGACCGATTAACCGAAAAAAATTTCGGTTCGGTGAATTCGGTAGAGAAAACTTCGGTTCGGTTAACGGTTAAAAGAAAAAAAACTTCGGTTAATTCGGTTCGGTTAAAACGGTTCGGTTAACCGAACGGTTAACCGATTGAACACCCCTAGTGCAAGGTATCGTCAAGGAAGCATTAACTAATAAGGGCGTCCAAGGTAAGGAAGCATTAACTAATAAGGGCATCGTCAAGGATGCATTAAAGCATTAACTAATAAGGGCGTGCAAGGTAAGGAAGCATTAACTAATAAGGGCGTGAGGAAGCATTAACTAATACGGGCGTGCAAGGTAAGGAAGCATCGTCAAGGAAGCATTAACTAATAAGGGGCAAGGAGAATGGCCAAATCTGTTGGTCATAACCTGGAGTTTAGATCTTAAGGTCCCAAGATTGAAACTTGGCTCTGATAAGAGTTATATAATTTTTGGAGGCGGTGGACGTTGCTTTGTTTGCTGAGAGTAATTCTGTTGGTTTTGGTCTAGTTGTTTTCAAGATTCCTACCATGCAGAAGTG